CTTTCTTTCTTTCTTTCTTTCTTTCTTTCTCTCTCTCTCTCTCTCTCTCTCTCTCTCTCTCTCTTTAAATTTGACTACAGAGAAAATAAAGCAAGCCGCCAGGTTCGGGACTTGAACCGTGGTCAGCCATGTGGGAGTCCAGTGCCCTTAACCTCCACGCCACCTGCTGGGCCCAACTCCAGTTTGGAATTTTATTTTACATCCGTCCCCTCTGTATCTTTACAGCATACGGCATGAGCTCCCCCGGCGTGGGTGCGTGCTGTGTGAGTGCAGTAACGGTGCTGCCATGCACATGGTTGACAGAGCCCGTCTGGTTACCACCAGCAGTCAGGCGTCCCACACCCTGTGGAGGCCAGGAGGGCTTGCTCACGGGCCTGCCTGCTTTCAGAGATACCAGCTTCAGATTTACCAGCGCCGACAGCAGAATCAGGACAGCACAGTCGACTGAGGCATGTCTGTGATGGTCCTGATAAAGTCTCTGTGTCCCGGGGCATCAGTGACAGTCACATAATACGTACTGGCCTCGGATCTCCACAGGGAGGTGTCAGTGGCGATTCCACACTCACACGCTCACACTCGGCTTTCGTTTCCCAAAGACCCAGGCGCGCTCCGGGGAGCCCTTCCCAGCCCAGCAGCCTCCTTCTCAGGTCCTCCGATGGCCCCCTGTCAGCCCCGCCGCCTTTGCAGCTCACATGGCCAGGAGTGGTGGCCTCGCCTGGACCCCAGCCAGAAACAGCCGTGTCAGCGCGAGCCTTCTCCTTCTCTGTCTTGGCTTTGACGCGACGGTGGTTTTCATGACACTTGCATTCTGGTGACAAACCTGTTGCAAGGAAAAAGTTAGACAACCTTTTAATAATTTTAAAAGATATTTATGGTATACTCTTGGGCTGAAAATGATTGAAATATGGTGTTGTGGAGGTTAAGGTGGCTGGATCCCACCTGGCCAACTCTGCTGTTCAAGCCCCGCACCCTGCGACTTGAAAATCACACCAGGCACCTGTGTGTCTGTACCCCAAATCCATGGGGAGTGGAGAAGGGGTTGCTGTGTGGCCCCCACCCCTGGGGGGTTCCTCTCTCTGTCCCTCTGCCTCTCCAGCAAGCACATGCGTCTTATGGCAAAAATGCTTTTAAAATTCAAATATATAAAAAATTACAGAAATATTTAGAAAGATGTTTGCTGAATGTTAGCAGTGCTGATCTGAAGTTGGTAGAATTATGAAAAGTAATTTTTCTTTATACCTTTTTTACAAAATTTATAAAACGGGCACGCATTATTTTGAGTGGTTTATTTATTTATTTACATTCGCTATAGGCCACATATGCTCACCAGAGACGGCAAGCCACTAGGTCCAGGACTTGATCTGTGGTTGACCACGTGGGAGTCCAGTGCCTTAACGACCACACCACCTGCCAGCCTGGCGTGCATTGTTTTTAGAATTAGTGACAACCCTGTGTTTCTCCACGTGTGTGTTTAGGTTTTCCTCTTTGTACCAAGTAAATAGGAAGTTTTCTGTGAGAACAGAAATGTCCTTCCTTTTACCCTGTGGGGTGCTCTGTGTCATGGAGATTTGCTAGCAGGCTCAGCAGGCTTGCTGAGCACCCGAGCTGGAGAGGACCGGAAGAGTGTTCAAGGGCCGACGTGTTTAGTTCGGTTCACCTTCCAGCCTGGAGATGCGACGTCAGAGTGGATGTGACTGTGAAACACGTTCCTGCCAAGCTCTAGTTGAAACTCAGCACGGGGCGACCACAGCGATCGGGGTACAGGAGGTGCCCCAGGTAGTCTCGGAACATGTCCCGATGGGCCTCTCCGGTCCCCACATCCATGGGGACATGGGCGTGGGCGTGTCTGCCCAGCCTGCCCGGGCCTATGGAGGGGTTTAGGCTGGCTGGGTGTGTGAGCGAGGCCTTCAGGAGATGAGGACTGAGGCTGGGCCAGTCAGCCTGGGGGAGGGCCGTGGGGTGGGGGTTTTTGTCAGGTTTGGGGTGGAGGACTGGGAGTCGGAGGCGGAGCAGAGGCTGAGCTGCAGTGGTGGCTGTCCCCTCCCTCGCCTGTCGCTGTTCCTCTATAACGCCTTCGGTACTGTTTTGTCTTAGCAGCTTTATATACAACTTCTTCAAATCTATGCTAATACCCAAGAGATGCCAATAATAATCTACACTGTGCTAATGAAGCTGGGATTTAAAGACAGGTGACTGAGGCTGGCCCCATAGTGCAGCGGGTAAAGGAACCCCATCCCACATGGCCAGCTGCGGTTCAAGACTCAGCCCCGTCAGCTTGGAAAACGCGCTGGCTGTGTGTGTGTGCGCGCCCCACCCTGACCGTGTAGAGGAGTGGAGGGAAAGGGCTCTGACCACGCCCCACTGGGGGTGCGTGCTTGCTTTCTCTCCTTGTCTCTCTCTGGCAAGGGCATACACCCTCTGGCAGTTATTTTAAAAAGACGTAAAATTAAGTATTGGGGTAAATCTTTTTTTTTTCTAAGGAGAGACTTTTGGTGTAGGTCGCTTCACTCACTAGAGTGACAGGCAGACTGAGACAGAGACTGGGGCGGCCGAGCTGCAGTCCCTCCCCCATTCTCCTCTCAGGGTTCTGGGCACACTCACACACACGCCTGACGTGAATTTCAAGCTGCTGCTTCCGAGACTCGAACCACAGTCAGCCGTATAGAGTCCAACAGTGTCGCCATTCTGGTCTCAAGTATCAAAATCTTGCCTTTAGAAATACGCGAATTGGGGCCCGTGGGCGGTGTGGTAGTTACGGTGCCGGACTCCGCTTGGCCAGCCACGTTTGACGGCCCGGACCCGTGACTTGAAAATCATGCTCGTGCGTGTGCTTCTGTGCCCAAAATCCCAGGAGGAGAACACAGGAGAAGGGACTGGGGCACGCCACCCTCCCAGGGTTATTTCTCACTTTCTCTTGTACTGTCTCTTTGGGGAGCATAAGTGCCCTATGACAAAAACTTCTGAAAGAAAATCCTGCCTGTTCATCTGTCCTGAGTCTCGATGGATCAGTGGCACACAAAGTGCTCAGAGGGGCAGAACTGGAGAGTGAGTCAGTGACTTGCCCAGGTGCTGGGCAGCCGGATCAGCAGGGCCTAGTGAGACGCTCTGCTCAGGCCAGTCTCCCCCAAGAGACTTCATCTTCATCCTGCTGTGAACCTGGGACTGGAGGAGCCCAGGAGTAGGTCTGTCTCTGCTATGTAACCTGATGCACAACTCCCCAGTCTCTGTCTCCATGTTTTTTTTAAAGAGAGGTTTTTGCTATAGGTCACATGGGCTTGCCGGAGAGACAGACAGAAAGTGAGAAATCACCCCCGGGGGATGGCCACAGTGGAGTCTCTTCTCCTCCATTCTCCTCTCGGATCTTGGGCATGCCTGCACACACTCCCAGTGTGAGGTTTTAGCCGCTGAGCCTGGGACTCGAACCACAATCAACTACCTGAGAGTCCAGCAACTTAACCATTACACCATCCGCTGATCCCAGTAACTTTTTTTTATTTTATTTATTTAATTATTTTTGCACTCGCCAGAAAGAGACAGAAAAGCAGAAAGCGAGCAATCACGCCCCCACCCCGGGTGGGAATGGCCACACCACAGCCCCTTTCCCTCCGTCCTCCCCTCGGGGTTCTGGACACACACACGGCATGAGTTTTAAGTCACCAGGTCTGGGGCACAAACTGCAGCTGACTATGTGAGAGTGCAGCAGTGTAACCATTATGCCACCTGCCAGTCCCAGTTTTTCTCATTTTTTAAGAGATGTTTCCCCATAGGCACATGTGTTCACGGGAGAGACAAGACGGCGAGAAATCCCCCTGCAGGGGGCATGGCCGCACTGCAGCTCCTTCTCCTGCACTCTCCCCTTGGAGCGCCTTAGCCACCATGTCACCTGCTGGCCCAGTACATTTTTAAAAACTAACTTGAGGGGCCAGCAGATGGCCTAGCGGACTCCCATGTGGCCTCTGGGCTCCCACGTGGCCAGCTGTGGCTTGAGTCCCGGACCCGGTGGCTTCAAACTCATGCTGATGCGTGTGCGTGCATCCCCAAGATCTCGGGGGACCGGAGGGAAGGGCTGCGGGTGACCATCCTCTCTGGAGAGCCGGTGATTTCTCACTCCTCTCACTGTCTCTGTCTCTCTGATGAGTGCGCATACCCTATGGCAAAAACCTTTTCAAAACAGAAATAATAAAAACAAGTAGCTTGGGCCAGCAGGAAGCACGAAGGTTAAGGTGCTGGGTCCCTCGGGGCTAATGCGTGGTTCGCGTGTTGGACTCGGCAACTTGAGAATCACACTGGGCTCGTGCGCATGGTGCCCAGAATCCCAAGAGGAGACTGGAGAAGGCGAGATTGCTGTGTGGCCATCGTCCCTGGGGGTGATTTCTTACTTTCCCTCTCTCTGTCTAGTGCACGTACCCTGTAGCAAAAAATAAATACAAACCCCAAAAAACTGACTTTAAAAAAAGATGACATCAACAGAGCTTTAAAAGGATTTTCCCAGGGCCAGCAGGTGGCATTGTGGTTAAAGGCGTTGGACTCCCACATGGCTGACCGTGGTTCAGATCCCAGACTTGGTGGTTTGTTATCTCACTTTCCCTCTCTCTCTCTTTTTCTCTCTCAGATCAAACTGGGAAATAATAAGTAAAGTTAAATAAAGTAGTTATTCTTTTAAAAAAAAGATTTTTCCAGGACCAGCAGTTGGCGTAATGACTGTCACTGGACTCCCATGTAGTCAACTGTGGTTTGTGTCCTGGACCCAGCGGCTTAAATTCACGCCGGGCGCATGTGTGTGCATGTCCGAGATCCCAAGAGGAGAACGGAGGAGAAGGGATTGCAGCGTGGCCATCCCCCCAGGGGGTGATTTCTCGCTTTCTGTCTCTCTGTCTCTGTCTCTCTTTCTGGTGAGCACACGTGCCCTATAGCAAAAACCTCTCCAAAAAAAAAAAAGGATTTTCCCTTATATGCTTTCTTTTTTTAATTAACAGTGCCTTTGAAGATGAGACCATGAAGCTTCGACAGCTGAAACTGGATAACCAGGTGAGAGAGCCTCCCCTTTTGAGCCCGGTGGGCCGCCCTGCTGACCGGGACTCCGAAACTTGGCAGCCCCTGGAAGGAAACTGGAGAGGAAAAGGTCCTGAGGGTTTCCCAGTGAGCACTGCCTGGAGGTGGCGGACCCGCTCTGGGCTCTGGGCGTCACAGGAAACTGGCCTTGAATGTCAGTCCCCTGCAGCCCTTGGCACCTCTTGTGAGAATTCGGGGAATGTTAACTTGTATTTCTATGTAGCCATTGGTTCTGCCAGCGTGAACACCTCTCCTCACTGTCATTTCATTTCATTAGGGACTCTTTCTTACTCCGAAATGCAAATCTGAACTTGCTGCTTCTTGCCTAAAGACTTCCATTACAGGTGGCATGGTGGATGAGGGTGCTGGACTCCCACGTGGCCGACCACGGTTTGTGTCCTGGACCTGGTGGCTTACCTTCTCAACCTCCCCATCATATTGTAGATAAATAAGTTAAATAAAACAAATATTTTTCTAATAACTTCCATTGCTTACAGAATTTTTAAAAAAATTTTTTCCATAGGGTATGTGTGCTCTCTAGAGAGAGGGAGAGAGAGGATGAGGGGGGGTTCACCCCTGGGGGACGGGGCATGTGTGCTCTCTAGAGAGGGAGAGAGGGCGAGTAGGGGTTCACCCCTGGGGGACGGGGCATGTGTGCTCTCTAGAGAGGGAGAGAGAGGGGGCAAGTGGGAGACCACCCCTGGGGGACGGGGCATGTGTGCTCTCTAGAGAGAGGGAGAGAGAGGGCGAGTGGGAGACCACCCCTGGGGGACGGGGCATGTGTGCTCTCTAGAGAGGGGGAGAGAGGGCGAGTGGGAGACCACCCCTGGGGGACGGCCTTGCCGCAGCCCTTCTCCTCCATCTCCTCTCCGGATTCTGGGCATGCATGCTCCCAGTGTGGTTTTCTTTTTTCCTTTCTCTATTTATTTGTTTAATTCGATTTGTTATTATTTAATTTGACCAGACAGAGACAGAGAGAGAGAGAGAGAGAGAGAGAGTATGAGCAAGATGATTGATGATTCTATGATGCAAACAGAGGAAGATCAAAGTCCAGTTAATTCAAGAATTTTTCACTGTTGGGATCAGCAGTTAGCATAATGGCTATGTCGCTGGACTCCCTCATAGTTGACCGCGGTTCGAGTCCCAGACCCGGTAGCTTAAAACTCACGCCGGGTGCGTGTGTGTGCGTGCCCAAGATCCCGAGAGGAGAATGGAGGAGAAGGGATTGTGGCGTGACCATCCCCCCTGGGGGGTGATTTCTCGCTTTCTGTCTGGCGAGTGCACGGGCCCTGTAGCAAAAACCTCTCAAGAAATAAATAAATAAAAAATAATCCTTTCTTAAATATTTTAGTGAAGGAAGGAATAAAAGCTAGAATCTCCATGGGTAGGCAGCCTGGAACCCATACCCACATACATCGCTTTTGTGTTTTTTTCCCATTTAAGTTTTTTTTTTTTTTCCTTTGAGAGATTTTTGCTGTAGGGCATGTGTGTTCAATGGGAGAGACAGAGACAGAAAGCAAGAACTCGCCCCCCCAGAGGGACGGTCTCACTGCAGTCCCTTCTCTCTTCTCCTCTTGGGGTTCTGGGTGCATGTGTACCTGGCATGAGTTTCAAGGCACTGGTCTGGACCTGAGTCATGGTCGTCCCCGCGGGAGTCCAGTGCTCCAACCGCTCCGCCCCCTACTGGCCCCTGTGAATGTTGCCTGAGTCCGGGATTCTATAGCTCTAGTCTTCCTAGGTAGGACCCTTAACAAACGGCATCTAGATTTGGTAGGCAACTCGAAGATTTATTCAGGTTTTGTCAGGGCCAGCGAGTGGCGTAGTGGTTAAGGCTCTGGACTCCTACATAGCCAACTGCTTTTTGAGTCTGGGTTCAGCGGCTTGAAACTCATCCAAGTGTGTGTGTGTGTGTGTGCGTGTCTGAAATCCAGAGGAGGGGTGCGGCATGGCCATCCCCACTGGGGGTGATTTCTCACTTTCTCTCTCTCTGTGTCTTTGGCGAGCACGTGTGCCCTCTATCGAAATTCTCTCTTAAAAAATTTGTCGTCCTTTATGTTGCTGGTGGAGCCGATAATGGAGCATCGACCCTCATAAGAAGTTACTTTAGGGAACCAGCAGTTAGCGTAATGGCTATGTCGCTGGACTCCCACGTAGTTGACCGCGGTTCGCATCCTGGACCCGGTGGCTTAAAACTCACGCCGGGCGCGTGTGCATGCGTGCCCAAGATCCCGAGAGGAGAATGGAGGAGAAGGGATTGCGGCGTGACCATCCCCCCTGGGGGGTGATTTCTTGCTTTCTGTCTCTATGTCTCTTTCTGTCTGTCTGGCGAGCGCACGCGCCCTATAGCGAAAACCTCTCCAAAAAAAAAAAAAAAAAAAAAGTTACTTTAAAGGGTGCATTCCTGGAAATGAGGCAGAAAGTGAGTCCCTGTGATCGCGGGAAGCTTCTGTTCCACAGCACAGGTGGCCACGCAAACACGGACGGCACTCTGTCCACAGTAAGGTCAGAGTACTTGGAATAAAACCGCTATTATTTCTTAAAGAATTATTTATTTAATTTTAATTTATTCATTCATTTATTTACATTTGACCAGAAAGAGAGACACACAGAGAGAGAGTGAAAGAGAGAAAGAAAGCCACTAGGTCTGGGACTCGAACTGCGGTCAGCCATGAGGGAGTGTCCAGTGCCTTATCCACCGTGCCACCTGCTGGCCCCCAAGCCTTTATTTTCTTTATTCCACATTGTACGTAATGAGGTGGGCATAAAGCGTTAGATACGTGGTTCTTTGAAGGTTGGCCACAGGGCGCGTACACTCCCGAGAGACGGAGAGAGGGAGTGAGAATCACCCCCCGGAGGATGGCCATGTCGCCTCCCCTCCCCTCCCCCCTCCTCCTGGGATTGTGGGCATGCACACATAGGCACCCAGTGTGATTTTCAAGCCACCAGGCCTGGGATTTGAATTACGGCCGGCCCTGTGGGAGTGCAGTGCCTTAGCCAGCCCTCCACTCGCCGGCCCCGAGTATTAGGTGTGTGTCTGACCTAGCATCTGTTTTGGTTTTAGGCTCCCTGGTGATACAGCACCAAGTGGTCCTTACAGACATGGGCTGGGATCAGTGTTCCACCTGTTCACTCTGAGGCATCAGCTTTTGAATTTGTATGTAGATGTATTTGGGCTTTTTAATCAGGTAGCCCCGATATTTTGTAATTTTCATTCTTTTCAGTGAGCGTGCCGTATTTGGGACTTCCGTGAACTTCTTTATAGCATAGATTTATTTTAATTATTTTTATATAGATAACAAAAACATATTCCAAGAATTCAAGTAATACAGAAGTGATATCTGATGAGGTCTTCCCGCTCTGCTGGTCCATTTACCAGAGGCTGTCGCTGACTTCCGAAGTGTCCCAGAGGTGGTGAGCAAAAAGCTACATTTCTTAGGGATTTTCCCTTTTCCTTTTTTCCCCCCACAGGGTACAAGTGCTCTGTGGAGAGAGACAGAGAGGGAAAGTGAGAGGTCACCCCCCAGGGGATGGCCATGCTGCAGTTCCTTCTCCTTTCAGGACTTTGGGCCCACGTGCACACATGTCTTCTGTGAGTTTCAGGCTGCTGGGTCTGGGGCTCAAACCATGGTCGTCCATGTGAAAATCCAGCACCTTAATCACCACGCCACCTGCTGGTCCTACTTAGGGATTTTAAACATTCGGAAGAACCCGTCTGGGCCTGCTGCATAGGCTCACTGTTGACCACGTGTTAGGGACTGCCACAGCCATGGGTGTGCATCATGAGGGGGACACTTGGGGGTCGGGGACCCCCAAATGCTAGCTGTGCAGATGGGGTGTGCCCACATCATGCACACGGCACTGGGCCGGGAGTCGGCTTGCTTTGTTCTGGGTCTGGCCCTGCCACTAGCGAGCCGTGAGGTTTCAGGTGAGGTCCTTTGGCCCAGTGGCAGTTCCTCCATCTGCAGGTGAGGTCAGAGTGCGAGAATAGCCAGAGGGAGGGCTCTGGAGCAGTGACCCTGCAGCTGGCATGGAGGTGTCCTGAGGGAGGCCAGGCTGCCGCGCTTTCTGGGCCTGGCAGTTCCTTTGTGGGAGCCCCCGGTCCAGAGCCTCAGTGCACAGCATGGGCCACAGTGGGGACCGCAGTGGTCACCGTAGGGTGCAGACGCCCGGAAACCCTGCCCCAGGTAGCCTGCTGGGCAGTCCCTTCACTTGAGAGTCACAAGGCATGAGTTTGTAGGGTAAGAAACACACTCGCAGAGCCAGCCGGTGGTGCAGAGGTCGAGGTGCTGAATCCCACATGCCGATGCTCAGTTCGAGTCCCAGATCCAGTGGGTTGAAACACATGCCAGGTGTGTGTGCGTGCGTGCCCAAGATCCCAAGAAAAGAATGGAGGAGAAGGGATTGTGGTGTGGCCATCCCTCACAAATTACCTTCTGGAGGGCAGTTCTCGCTTTCTCTTTCTGTGTCTCTCTCTGGTGAGTGCACGTGCCCTGTAGCAAGACTTCAAAAAATATCTGTGTGGTTCCACACTGCTAGATGACATCACATGCCCGACGGCGTCCCCATGAGGTGGCAGCAGGCTGCACTCTGGGCCGTCACATGACGGGCTCACCCATAGAACGTCCCTGTGGCTGGGTGACTCGTGGCTGCAGTTTGCCCAGAGCCACATGGGTGAGGGACCGAGTGAGGCGGATCTCTAGGGACCGGCACACCGGAATCAGCCCGCCCCCGCCCTC